GAATTGGAAAAAAATTGGTTCTATTCCACTGATAGTTTGAGAAGCACCAGTGAAAGGTGTAAGTCAGGTGTGTTCACAAATAACTAAAGGAAATCAGAAGGTCCCAAATCAAGAACCATAAATACTTAACTGATCACTAGGTTTCTTGTCATCAAAATTAATCTCTACTTTAAATATTTTCTTAATTAATATAAATAAACCACCATAAGTGGTTTGCTCTTTCTCTTTCATTATGTTTTAATTGAGATATAATTCACATACCATAAAATCAACTCCTTTAAATAAAATGTATAATTCAGTAGTTTTTGGTATATTCACAGGTTGTGTACTTACCATAATTTAATTCTGGAAGGTTTTCATCACTCCAAAAAGGAACCCCAAACTAATATGCAGTCATTTTTCCATTCCCCTAAGCCCGTGGCAAACACCAACCTACTTTTTGTCTCTATAATAGAGATTTGCCTATTCTGGCATTTCCTATAAATAGAATTTTACAAGATATGCCCTCTTGTGTCTGGTGTTTGCCAAGTGTCAATAATTAGTTTCTTTTAATGGCTAAATAATATCCTCTCTCTCTTTTTTTTTTTTTTTTTTTGAGGCAGAGTCTTACTCTGTCACCCTGGGTAGAGTGCAGTGGCATCATCATAGCTTACTGCAACCTGAAACTCCTGGGCTCAAGTGATCCTCTTGCCTTACCCTCCCTAGTAGCTGGAACTACAGTCATTTGGCACAATGCTGGGCTAATTTTTCTGTTTTTAATAGAGACAGGGTATCGCTCATGCTCAGGCTGGTTTTGAACTCCTGACCTCAAGAAATCCTCCTGCCTCAGACTCCAGAGTGCTAGGATTACAGCCATGAGCCCCCACCCAGCCCCTAAATCATGTTCTAATGTATTGACATACCACATATTGCTCATTCACACATCCAGTGATGGACACTTGGGTGTTCCCACTTTTTGGCTACTATGAATAATGCCGTTACAACCACTCATGTACAATTTTTCTGTGAAAGTATGCTTTCAATTTCTTGGGTCTAAATCCAGCAGTGGAATTTCTGAATCATATGGTAGCTCTATGTTTAACTTTTTGAGGAAATGCAAACTATTTCCAAGCAATGTGTGAGGGTTTCAGATTTTCCACATCCTTGTCAGCACTTCTTGTTCCCTCTTTCCTTCTAGAAGGACACCTAGAGGGCGGGAAGTAGTATTTCATTGTGGTTTTGATTTGCATTCTCCTAATGACTAACACTCTAGAATGACTTTTCATGTGCTTATTTGTCATTTGTATATCTTCTTTGGTTAAAGGTCTAGGAGAATATTTTGCTCATTTTTATTAATAAATTGGATTTTTGGTCTTTTACTGTTGGATCAGAGAACTTCTGTGTATATTCTGGTTACTAGACCTTTATCAAATACCTGATTTGCAAATATTTTCCCCATCTGTGGATTGTCTTTTCACATTTGCTGGGCAGTGTCCTTTAAAGCATAAATGTCTTTATTTTTGATGAGGTCAAGTTTATATATTTTTTCTTTCTTTACATCCAAGGTCATGAAGATTTACTTCTATGTTCTGTCCTAGGAGTTTTATAATTTTAGATGTACATGAAGATCTTTGATCTATTTTGAGTGAATTTTTGTCTATGATGCAAGTTAGGGGTCTGACTTCATTCTTTTGCATATGGGTATCCAGTTGTCACAACACCATTTGTTGAAAAGATTATTTTTTCTCCACTGAATTGTCTTGGCACACTTGTGGAAAATCATTCACATAATTCATAAATGTATGGATTTTTGTTTGGACTTTTAAGTCTATTTCATTGATCTGTTTGCCTATCCTCATGCCAACTTTTGAAATCTAGGAATGAAAGTCATCCAAGTTTGTTCTTCATTTTTATTATTGTTTTGGTTATTCTGAGTTCCTTGAATTTCCAAATGAATTATGGTATCAGCTGATCAATGTCTTCCAAAAAAAAAAAATCCAGGGATTTTGATAGGGATCTCATTGAACTTCTAGATCAATTTGTAGAGTATCACCATTTTAATAATATTAAGTCTTTTGACTGGTGATCATGGGATTCTTTCCATTTATTTAGGTCTTCTTTAATTTCTTTCAATGGCGTATTACAGTTTTTAATGCAAAAATCTTGCAACTCCTTTTTAAAATTTATTCCTAAGTATTTTATTCATTTTGATGCTATCTTAACTAGGATTGTTTTCTTAATTTTATATTCAGATTATTCATTGCTAGTGTATAGAGATATAGTTGAGTTTTAAAAATTGATCTTGTGTTCTGTTACCTTACTGAATTCATTTGTTAGCTCTAATAGTTGTGCATTTGTCTTTTCTTAGGATTTTTTATATATTAAGCTCTTGTTATATGTGAATAGAGCTAGTTTTACTTCTTTTTTTCCAATATGAATATCTTTTAGTTCTTTTTCAATTGTCTTGGCTATAACCTTCAGTACCTGTTGAATAGAAGTGGTGAAAGCCTTGTCTGTTTACTAATTTTAGTTGTGACCCATCTGTTTTAATCAGAGATATATAAGTCTGGGCTATGTCTTCATTGCATTTTCAATCCACTCCCTCCTGTGGTGGTTCACTGTTATAATTTTCCAGGCCATCCACAATGTTAACACTTTATAGAATAATAATGTAAAGAATAATTCTTTAAAGAAATAATTCTGTAAAGAATAATTCTTCATTTTGTGTAAAATATAACTAAGCCCAGACCAGGATAATAAATATTATAATACCTCTATACATAACCTCCTAAAAATTCAAAAGATAATCCACACAATGTTAGACTAAAGAGCTAGTTCTCATGAAATTTATCATTAACCGTAAGTTTTATTGTAGTTACTTTAATGAAACATTGTGATGTAAATAAATTGCAGGACATATTTCAGTGGTGAGGTGAGAGAGAGGAAAAGGTAACCTTTGGTTGTTCAGAATCTACTTACTCCACAACTGGAATTTATAACTGCAGGATTTCAGGATTGGAATGGTAACTGCACAGAGGTCAACTGTCACCTGATGTTTGAATTCCCCCTACAGGTGCCTTTTCTCGGTATCTCTGTAACCTGTGATTCCTTCTCTCCGGTGAGAAGGAATTCGGTACTGCATGAGGGCCACCTGTCTCGTTTGAACACTTCAGAGCACTTATTGTTTCAATGACCTAAAATTTTTTTCTCATTAAAACCTCCTGCAGAGAGTAGTAAACCAGGGAAACAAGACAAGGTTACTATCATTGTTCTTAGTAGTAGTAGAACAATAGTATACCTGTACAGTTGTTTGAAAAGTTAAAGTTACTTGCTCACAAGTGATTTAAAAATAACAGCTATTTGTTGAAAAAATGGAATAAGATGGAAAATCAAAACCAAAAAGACGGCCGGGCGCGGTGGCTCATGCCTGTAATCCTAGCACTCTGGGAGGCTGAGGCGGGAGGATCGCTCAAGGTCAGGAGTTTGAAACCAGCCTGAGCAAGAGCGAGACCCCATCTCTACTATAAATAGAAAGAAATTATTTGGCCAACTAATATATATAGAAAAATTAGCCGGGCATGGTGGCATATGCCTGTAGTCCCAGGTACTCGGGAGGCTGAGGCAGGAGGATCACTTGAGCCCAGGAGTTTGAGGTTGCTGTGAGCTAGGCTGACGCCACGGGCACTCACTCTAGCCTGGGCAACAAAGTGAGACTCTGTCTCAAAAAAAAAAAAAAAAAAAAAAAACCAAAAAGAATACTGTAAAGTAATGGCCAAATTTTCAACTATTAAGTCAGAGTTATCTTAGCATCATGTGTGTTATAGGAGAAATCCATCAACTGAAACATCTTGATTGAGGGCCTTTGTTCTAAGTGCTGGGAATAGTGAGAGAAACCAAAAAGAGATACTTTTTTAAAGGACTGTACAGTCTCATTGAAAAGATAGGATAAAAATATAGAAAATAACTGAAAATATGAGCGTACTAGTAATGTGGGCCAGAGAAAGGTTAAACATAATAAGACTAGGTCTTCCCAGGAAGAAGCGTAGGGCGGTGAGTGGATGCGCGCCCTGTGGGGTTGACAAGAGGGCAGGGCCCCGGGCCCTGGAGGAGGGTGTGCGCAGGGCTGACAGAGGGCCGTGGGGACGGGGACAGGAGGCCGCTGCAGGCCGGAGGGTGGGAGGAGGAGGGCGTGCGCAGGGACCTGGTGTGGAGGGAGAAGACTCTGGAGGCAGGTCAGGTGGGGACTGCAGGGGACGCAGTTAGGGGCCCAGTGGAGGAGGCCAGGCTAAGGAATTCAGATTTTGTCTTACAAAGGTTTGAGAGTCAAAGACTGAGTCTGAACAAGGAAGTGACGTGCTTCAGACACTGCAGAGGCCGGGAAGAATGAAAGAGGCCGCAGGCGTGTAGACCTTGTGGTCAGTGTGGATTCAGAGGGGACAGCGGTGGGGATGGGAGAGCAGGACAGATTCAGCGAAGTCACACAAGGGCAATCAGAAGCATGACTTGACCTAGGGGCAGGGACAAGTAGCTCTCAGACTTTGTGATGATGATCATTAAAAGAAATGCATTTACATATTTCATAGATAGGTACATCACGTTTTGTGTCGTACATACATATAAAACAGAAATTGAAATTCTAAGAAACAATGTTTACTCTTACTCTGCATGATGTACCTTGTTATTTCTGTTTCCTTTTATTCCATTTTAAAAAAACTAGCAGAAGGCAGTGCTGTGACAAAAGTCAACGCTCCCATTGTGCTCCACTGAAATTATCTGACTTCACTCACGGTCGCCGTTTGCGCTAAATGGACACGTCAGATCTGAGAGTGCAGTTGCCGCGGTCTACAGACCGACAGCGTGGCCTGGCGGAAAATAGCCATGTGGTGTGAATAAGCGACCCTCAGCCTAGACGACGTCACGGGGGCGCAGACTGTTAGCCCACTAAGATAGTTTCTGACTCGGGAACGGGCTGTTGTTCTGTGTCTGAACACGATGTCTTAAGGGTATGATTTAGAGCATACCTGTGAGCCTCCTTCTCTGAGGCCTTTCCCAGATGCTGCATTTCCAGCATCGCAGACTGAGCTCTCGGTCTTCTGTCAGAATAAACATCTTTGGGAAGGGGCAACCTTCGCAGACCTTCACCTAGTTCGATGTATTACCTTTCTTGGAAAGCAAGCCTCACTGGAGCAGAGGACAGAGAAGGCCTGTGCAGCCTGCGACGTGCGCCAGCCAGGAAGGGCCAGGGGAGGCGGCGTCGTGACGAGACGCTGTCCCTTCCCATTCACTCGGGTGTCACTGCGGCAAGACAAGTCGGATCTTAGCCAAAGGGCTGAGAAGGGCGGCACTCACTCATCCCGAGTGAGGAGGGCTCCTGGAGGAAGGCGGGACGGGATCCGCGGCGGGAGGCGAACCCGCGCTGGCCGGGCAGGAAGGGCTGGACTGGAGCCGGAAACGGGAGGGGAGGGAGAGGCAGGGCGGCTCTTTTGGGATGTCGACGGGCCACACAAGTGACTCTGGTCTCGGGTCCGGACAGGCCGCCCGGTCCGGTCCTTTGTTGCCGAGACGCAGTTCACTGGATGGCTGTCCCCACGCCCATCGGGGGACAGTCGGGGAAGCCGGTCCAGGGCGGCCAGCGCGTCTCCGGGAGGGCGGGCGAGTCCGCACGCGGTGTTTCCTGGCGGCTCCACAGACAGGACGGCGGCGGGCGGGGGCGCGCTGCGTGCGCGTGCGCGTGCGCGTGCGCAGACGGCGGCTCCGGGCGCCCTGAGGCCCGGCTGGCCTGCTGCGGCTGCCCCTCCCCGCGTCGCTGTGAGGCCGCCCCGTGGCGTCGTCTGGGCTGAGGTCGCTCACTGACGCCACACGGCTGTTTTCCGCCAGGCCACGCTGTGAGGCTGTGGACCGCGGCAACTGCGCTCGCAGATCTGCGCGTCCGTTAGCGCAGACACGGTGAAGTCAGAGAGTTTCAGGGGAGCGCAGTGGGAGCGCTGACTCCTGTCACGGCATGCCTTCTGCTGTTAGTGGTGGGGCGACTTTCTCTTGAAAGGCCAACCTCGTTGGAAGGAAGGTCAATTTTCTCTTATTTAATAAACAGATATATTCGCAACTTGATTATTAAACTTCATATTTAAAATTTTCTCTTTACTTCGGAGTAACTCCTGTGGAACTGAAGACCCACAGGAGCGCAGCCGTTTCTCCGAGTCCATTCACAGCGCAGAGCAGGCGCCGCCCGCCGCGTCCCGCACCGAGCCCAGGCCCCGCGGGGGCGCCAGGTGCAGCTCAGACGCCGGTCAAGCTCAAAGCCGGTTTCTGGTCTCCGGTGGGAGATTGAGAGGAACATGTGGACCTGAGCTTTCCTGCCTGGGGTCGAAAAGGAAGGGAAGGCGTGTGCGTCCCTCCACCCGCGCTCGGGGGCCGGTGCGCCGCTGCCCTGGGTGCTGTCCCTGCTCCAGCACTCCGTCACACGGCGGGCCCTGGGCTGTCCTGCTCCTGCATCCCTCACCGGCGGGGACCTGGGTGCTGTCCCTGCTCCTGCAGTCCGTCACACGGCGCGGCCCTGGGTGCTGTCCCTGCTCCTGCAGTCTGTCACACGGCGCGGCCTGGGTGCTGTCCTGCTTCCTGCAGTCCGTCACACGGCGCGGCCTGGGTGCTGTCGCTGCACCAGCACTCCATCACACCGCGAGGCCCTGGGTGCTGTCCCTGCCCCAGCAGTCCATCACACGGCGGCTGGTGCTGTCCCTGCTCCTGCAGTCCTCAACACGGCGGGGACCTGGGTGCTGTCCCTGCTCCTGCAGTCCGTCACACGGCGCGGCCCTGGGTGCTGTCCCTGCTCCAGCAGTCCGTCACACGGCGGGCCTGGGTGCTGTCCCTGCTCCAGCAGTCCGTCACACGGCGCGGCCCTGGGTGCTGTCCCTGCTCCTGCAGTCCGTCACACGGCGCGGCCCTTGGGTGCTGTCCTGCTCCTGCAGTCCGTCACACGGCGCGGCCCTGGGTGCTGTCCCTGCTCCAGCAGTCCGTCACACGGCGCGGCCCTGGGTGCTGTCCCTGCTCCTGCAGTCCGTCACACGGCGCGGCCCTGGGTGCTGTCCCTGCTCCTGCACTCTGTCACCACGCGCGGCCTGGGTGCTGTCCCTGCTCCTGCAGTCCGTCACACGGCGGGGCCCTGGGTGCTGTCCCTGCTCCTGCCAGTCCGTCACACGGGCGCCTGGTGCTGTCGCTGCTGCAGCAGTCCGTCACACGGCGCGGCCCTGGGTGCTGTCCTGCTCCAGCAGTCCGTCACACGGCGGGGCCCTGGGTGCTGTCCCTGCTCCTGCAGTCCGTCACACGGCGCGGCCCTGGGTGCTGTCCCTGCTCCAGCAGTCCGTCACACGGCGCGGCCCTGGGTGCTGTCCCTGCTCCAGCAGTCCGTCACACGGCGGGGCCTGGGTGCTGTCCCTGCTGCAGCAGTCCTGTCACACGGGGCGGCCTGGTCTGTCCCTGCTCCTGCACTCGCGTCACACGGCGGGGCCCTGCGTGCTGTCCCTGCTCCAGTAGTCTCACCACGGCGAGGCCCTGGGTGCTGTCCTGCTCCTGCAGTCGTCACAACCACTGCCGGGTGCAGCCTAGCTCTGAGCAGCAATCGCTCCTAAACTCCTCGGCTCGAACTGATTCCTCCTGTCTCAGGCTCCTGAGTCAGCTGGGACTATACAGCACGCACCACCAAGCCTGGCTAATTTTTCTATTTTTAGTAGAGAGGGGTCTCTCGGCGCGGTTCGCGCTCAGGCTGGTTCTCGAAGCGTGCTGCCTGACACCCTGCTTCTGCAGTAATGTGACTCCCTCCATGCCGTACGCGCTGTCCGCTCCCTTGCGTCGTCACACCCAGGAGTGGCCTAGGATTGAGCGGAGTGGCTGAGTCCGCTCACCGCCCCAGGGCCGAGCCCGAATCACAGCCGCACGCGCGGCCACTAGGGTGTCTCTGAGCTGCTTACGTGCCTGCCCCAGCAGTTCCGTGCAACTGCCCTAGATCGCTGCCTGATAGTACTCTCACTCGCTGCATTCGCTGTCTCGCCTGCTTCCTCAACCATCTGTCCCACGGGGCCCTGCGCTGCTGTCCCCTGCTCCTGCAGTCCGTCACACAGCGGTGACTGGGTGCTGTCCTGCTCCAGCAGTCGTCACACGCAACCGGCTGGTGCTGTCCTGCTCCTGCAGTCCGTCCACGGCGGCCTTGTGCTGTCCCTGCTCGCTCTGCAGTCCGTCACAGCGGCGCGCCCTGGTGCTGTCCCCTGCTCCTGCAACAACCATGAGGCTGCTTATTAATTATTATCTTTTGTTATTGGGCACATCTACTTGGAATTTATGTCATACACTAGGCAATTTTAATTAATTCTTATATGAACCGTAACTGCAACATGAACTTCCGGTGACATAACACCATTAATATCGGCGGCTCATTATGGGTGCATGTTCCCTGTCTTCTCTTCCCGTCGACTACGGCGAGAGCGCCAGGATGACTGGGTGTATCGCCTGATGTGACTCCCTCCTATACGACGTGCAAGAAGACAGTACACACAGTGCGACAAGTGACAATCATCGCTCATAGGGTAGCTGTCTGCTCCTGCAGAGTCCGTGTCACTCTAAAATCTAGACGCTTAATAACAACAGGGAAAAACTGCCTTGATACATCTACCTCACATAGAGGAAAGTCTCAGCCAATCAGAGTAGCAAGTCGAGGTTCCTCTCGAGAGAGTGCTTACGCTGTCTCTACATTCCCGTCGTTCTTCATATATACATACATTTAGGTGCGACATGCGGCGCGGGCCTTTGCGCGATTCTAGATCTCACTTGATTCATAGCCTAACTCTTATCCTCAACTGCGCTTGACTCGGCAGGTGGGTACTAATAGGGATTCTTGATACCATAGAATGAGACTAGCAGATGCACGCCTACTTTCCGTCTCACATTCTGACGCGGACCAAATCAAAGTAACAAAGAGCGAATGTCCTATGTGCTTTCTCTGCATAGTAACTTGCTCAGGTCGCGCCACTCCAGTGTACTAGATAGGTCCACAGCTCCGTCAGCATCTCGACGAACATCGCGCCAGTTCCGCCTCACATGGGGTGCTGTCTCTGCTCCAGCGCATGCCAACATTGGCTGCGGCACGAAAGGGTTACTTAGAATCCTAGTCACTTCACTAACAGCAGGTATTCTCGTCCTGCATCGCAGGGAGCGAGACAGCAAGTACAGTCGAGGCTGTAGATCGCAGCTGAGATCACAGAAGCAAACAACACGAATTCACGAATAGTAGCGGCGATATATGAGCTGTTCTCAAGCAGCTCCGGAGCTGCGTCTATACAGCCACACGCGGCGGGACCCTGGGTGCTGTCCTGCGCCCAGCCAGTCCGTCACGCAGACGTGAGCGGTGACTTCACAATTTGGCATGCCTCGCGAGCGTCCCTAGCCTCCGGCGCAGAGTAAACGCCGACCCTCTGCGAGCCAGAGTGTGCTGTCTCCAGCCCTGCGTGGTATTTCCCTAGACCTAGACAGATCCGCTATATATATTGACCCAAGTCAAGATTACGGTCGCACACCTCTTCTTAGGTCTCGATTGGCAGAGTGGTACAATGTCCTGGATGCTGTCCCGTATTGCTCTCTAGCGAAAGTATCGATTACACACTCGGACGAGGGAGCGCTAGCACTCTAAGACATTAGACTGTTGTGATCTTACCCGAATGCCCCATATCTATCGTCACAATTATTAGAATTTAACATGTTTTTATTTTTTTTTAATTAACATGTGTATCACCTCACTTATGAAATTGTAGAGCGGGGTGCGCGAGCGCGTGTGCTGAGAGGCTGCATCCCTCTATGTAGCGCTACTTAGTCTGACTTTCAGTAGCCATAGGTTAGCTCTGCTCCTACCGGACCCACATTTCTCAAATTTAATAATAGAAATAAATGAGAGAATTTAGGTCACACAAGCCTCGGCATACGCTCAACAGGTTCCCCTCTCTTTTCTCCTATATTTCCAGGTATATACGAGCTGCGCGCTGTTTAACTGAATCCGCTCGTGTGTGCTGGGTGCTACCCTTCGGTAGATGCAAAAGCAAGTCACTGTGGAGGTCAAGTGATGGTTCCCAAATGTTACCGCGCCCTCATTAGCTAACGGATATCCGATGGAGGCGGGCGAGCTGGGCTGCGGTCCGAGCCCTTCCCGCTGCGGGGCTTGAGCGCGCCATCCAGAAAGTGCTCAGTCGGAAGTGAAGAATCACTAGCGATACTGTATTGAGTTTTTATGAGGCTAAATACATTCAGTTATATAAGTATATAGCAGGTATAGGCGACTCTCTGGTGCAAGAGCCGTTCTCCTGTAGCTCCCAGAAGAGCCTCGTCTTTCATCGCACCAGCTTGGTGCACTGTCATCATCAGCATAGTAGGATAAATAAAGCAACATGACTTGATAGATTTTCTAGAGGCTAAATACATTCAGCTGCTACTCAAGTATACTCTCAGCCTAACACTACAGGACAGCGGTAGTGTGAGACGCCACAAGCTAAGTAATACATCAGAGAAATTCACTACAGAGGCGCCGTTAGGACAATTATTGCTTCTGATCTAGTCTATATATAAAGACTAGGCTATTCTCGCCTCGGGCTACTCATGAAGACTGTCAACAACATAGACTTGGAAATTTGTGCAT